CAAAAACTGCTCAGGAGAGAGCCCCAGGCAGGGAGGAGCAGCACAGGGCTGGCCTGAGGCTAAATGGGGATAAATTCACTGTGAATGAACCCGGGCTGTGGAACAGCTTTCCTCAGGTGGGGAATCACAAGAAAATACTGAGGCTTTGGGGAAATGTGAGCTGATTCTGTGGGGTGTGTCCTCTCCCAGTGTGTCCCCATGGGTGCAGGGGACACATCCCCAAGGRTCTGAGCTGGTGGCTCAGAGTCATCAGCTCTCTCTCAGGTACAGGAGCTGTGCAAGAAAATTGTTAAAGGGGAATAATTCCCAGCTTGATYGACTGGCAGCAAGTCCTTAAAGAAAGTAATTATTTAAATGCATATTTAGTTCGTTAAGCCCGTGAATATGCATTTACTCTGAGCACCTGGTAAATATCTGATCGTTTTTTTGATTTGGAGAAAAATGTTTAATTGCCTGTCACCAGCGCTCTGGAATTACATTTATTTTTGTGCAGAACTTAATCAGATTGCAAGTAAGATGCTGAAGTCTGTTGCTTCACTARCTCATATCAATAGATATTCTAAAGGGGATTTTTTACTACTCTTGGTGGTTTTGATGGTTTTTTTCTGCCTTACCTTCTGTCTAAAAGCTTGGAGTTTAGAACTACACGAGGTCTGATTGGGAACGAGTTTTGCAATCGCCCCCACTAACATGAATCAAATATCTATAAATACCTCTCATTTTCCCTGTTCTCCTTTTTAAAGGCAGTTCCACCTTGCAGGCAGGAAGGGTGATGTTTGCAATATTTCAGGCAGCAGACCCCAGGCTCTGTCTGGTGCCAGGATGATTTTCTGTGTATTTGGTGATGATTTTCTGATGGATTTGGTGTCAGCAGTGCCAGGGTGCTGTGAGCAGGGCAGTCCTGAGCAGGGTGTTGGGAGTTCTGAGTGGGCTCCACAGTGCTGTTCCCACTCTGGGGCTCTACATCATCACCAATTATAACATCCTAATTATGGTGTTTTGGCAGCAGTCATGGTGATCATTGATAGTGACACTGCTGACACCTTGTGCTGTTCACTTTCTTTCTCAATTGACAGTGTCCCAGCACTCCWGGGACTGCCTCTGCCTCCTCCAAATTGCTGTGTGCCTGAAAACATTTGAGATGTGAGAATCTCTGCGCTTTACCTTTTCCAAAAGCACATTTTTTGCGGTGGAATTCTTTGAATTTGAGCTTGCAGCAGGCAAGAGGCAATCTGTGCTCCAGCTCCTCATTAGCTGCTGCCTGACAGTGATGGGTGACCCTGGGAATTCTCGTTCAAAGCTGCTCCTCCTGCTCTTCTCAGCTCCTTCTGCCTTCACCTCGGTTATCCTTTAAAGAAAAACTCGAGCAGGAGGGAGGGAGGGAGGCCCTGCCTGTGCAGGATTGAGAAGAGGTTTTCCTCCTGCATACTGGAAGGTCACCTGTGAGGAGCAGCATCCATTCCTGGCCTGGAGAGTGGCAGGTGTCACACTGATGGGGACAAAGCCATCTGCCAGCRTTGTGCCACCCACTCATTCCCCTGGCACAACTCTGGGCAGATTGCTGAGTGCATTTGTGGCCAAACACTGCATTTGTATGTGGCCTCTTACTGCTTTTTCTCTTTGTTGTTGTGCTCTGGGAGCTTCCTCTTCGCTGCTGATTTTTGGGATTGTGTGGAGGAGCTGCAGGACCTGCCCTGCTCCAGCTGGGATTTGTTGCTGGACACAGCAGCYCTGTTCTGGTTTCYAGATTACAACTGGTGCCTTCAAAACCTCCTTCTTGTCTGGCCACAGCCTCTCACGTTCCTGCTGCACATATTGTAGTCTTGTTTTCATCTGGGACTGATCTGGGAAGCTCCTTGGACCTTTCTGGCTGCTTGTGATGGGTCTGGAGTGATTTGATCAGATGATCCTCAAGCTGCCTTTAAACCCAAACCAYTCCATGATTWTGTGAAGATTTGGAAATCCYCCCTGTCTGGAGGAACACACAAATCTGAGTGGTTTGCACAGATTTTGGGCAAAGTTTATGAACAGAGGTTTCTTGAAGTGCCCTTTTTCTTCCTGCCCTGGTCAAAGCCACGGTGTGGGATGTGCTGGGAAGGTTCAGTGTGGTGGAGGAGCTGTGTTAAGCAGCCCCAGCAGAAAAGCAGCAGCTCCTGTGGTGCAGAGAGTGCTCTGAGCTGCTCCAGATGGCCCAGCCCAGCAGCCTGTCCCAGTAATCTGCTGACTCAGGGCCATGGCAATCTTCTTTCCTGCTATTAAKGCCCGAGCAGCAGGTGCTTGTTGAGGTGACACAAGCTCAGGCGCATCCCTGAGTGTCAGCAGAGCAGAAACTTCACCCCCCAGGGCTGGGAGGGAGCAGGCTCTGCCTCTYAGGGCTGGTTTGGAGCCCATTAAATGGGCAGGGATGTGCTCTGTGGGATCTGCCCTCTGCTGTTCCCAGTCTGAGAACTGCTCTGATCATCTCTGGAACTTGCAAAACTCTTGGGAGCCTTTGGGTGAAGGAGAGCTCTGCTCAAGGGTGACCTTTTGGAGCTCCTCACCTGACAAGGGCAGSTTTGAAGCCCTCCTGTACTTGGAGSAAGCAGGAACCAGCAGGAACATCTGATGGACCAGAAGGCAAAGTCCAGAAGGGAAGGAGCTGCTTGACCATTTCATGGACTCTCCTAGAGCTGCTTTTCTTGTGCCCACTGAAAATACACGAGTGAGCCAAGACACTCCTGTTCCTGGAATTCAGCTGTGARCTCACCTCTTTGCCACCTAGACCAACAGTGGATGGAGGATTTGGTATTTCCTAGAGGAAAGAAGACACATTCCTTTCTGCAGGCCAGTGGGAACAAAAGCAATGCTTTATAATGAATGGTAACACTGCCTGTGAGGATGGAGAGGGGACTGGAGAACAGCTGAGAACTGGAGAGCAGCGTGGGCTGCACGGGTGGGATGTTGCCCTCAGCATCTGCAAATGCCTGGATCCTGCAAGGTTATTCCAAACAGAACCTCAGCCCTGCTGCTTCCTTCTGCCAGCGGCTCTGGAGCTCTGCACGCTCAGAAAATGCACAAAAAGAGGTGGGGAGAGCTTGGACTTTGCTGTCATTGGCTTTTCCCTTTGCTGGTCTGYCGGGGTGGTTCAAATTTGTAATTTTTTTTTTTTTTTAATGGACAGTTGAGCTGTGGCATTTGGAAGCTTTTTCAAGTGGAGTTTCAGTGTGCTCGACTTTGTTCCTTGACCTTTAGCTGATTCCTCTGCCCTTGGCATTGTGCTCCTGAGWGCTTTTGAGCCTGAAGTGATTGAACTGCAGGCAAAGGTGCTTCCCAAAAGTAGCTCTGAAGAGCAGGTGGGTTTAACAAGTGGGTTGTGTTTCTGTGAATAATTGCAATCCTTGTTTGTTGTCCAGGGCAGCAAAGGCTTGGCAGAGCAGGACACAGGGAAAAAGCCTCCCTGTCCCTTCCCTTGTTTGCTCAGGTCCCAGTCTGAGCAGTGATGTTAATTAGATAAGTCAGATTCTCTGCAGAGCAGCCTGCTCAAGGACAAACAGATTTTAATTAAGGGCTGTGTGCACTGGAAGGTCGTGTCACTGCCTTGTGCCTGRCCAGTTACTATGGGAACACCAGGGAAGGGCCCAGCGAGTCTGAGTGTGCCCCAATGTGGGTTTGGGGTGCAGAATTCACATTGGGGTACGGCAGATTTGGTCCCACCCTTGCWGTGTGTGACTGGTTTTGTTGCTGTACAAATGGGAACTTTCACTTCAAACTATTAAATCACCCAAGAAAATCCATGTGAGCTGTACAGCAATGGCATGAATTAGGGAAATCGGGCTCCAGCTCAGTTTTTGGACTGTTAACAGCTGGTGAACTCAATTCCTCAAACAGAACCTGGATATTTGGAASAGTTTTTGGGGATGAAATTTGAGCCCGAGTTGGGGCTTTGGGGAAGCATCRTCCAGGGCTCCAGGAGGGGTCAGTTGGGCACTTTTTTCTCTTGGGCTGGGCACCACAAACTTCCTCCAAGTGTTCTTTGACTGGAAACCACCTGTGGACATTTATTATCTTTTGACAAACCCTCGCCGTTCTGCCTCTGGACAAGGGAGCTGTGTTTTTTTCTCAGCAAATGTCCACCTCTGACCTGGATAGTTTTGACTTTAAAAAAAATATATTGAGCAGAAAAAAAGAGCAAAGAGAAGCATCTGAATAGAGGAGCAGGAACATGCTGTGTCCATCCCCCTCGGGAAGGGGCTGGCTTTGCAGCAGGACATTGGAAATTGGGCGTTTCCAGTGAAATCTTGGAAATCTCTTTGGAAAACTTGGGGTATGCATGATCTGACAGGGATGGCTGTGGCTTGGTGGGGCTCTCAGAGGAGGTTTTTTTTTTTCTCTTGAAGCAGTGTCAGTGCTCACAGAGCTCTCTCTGGCAGCACAGTGTGCCAGTGCCAAAGGTGTCTGAAAATRCACGGGTGGAGAGCTGGCCAGAGTGCCTGTGGAAAAAATGACAGCAGGAGAGTTAATGAAAAGCAGACACCGAGCACTGGGAGCTGCTCAGCCAAGGAAATCTGCACAGTGCAGGGTTTTCTYTGGTATCCACTAAAAACCTGTTATAATTTGGCTTCCCTCTCTGCTAGCCCAGGGAGAACGGTTCAGGTATAAATGTGTGGATATGGGGCTGCTGCAGCTCCTGGAAGGAAAGCAGGTGTTACTCCTGTGATGATTCCATGTCTTGGAGCCTGGAGCTCTGAGCTTCTTGTCCAGATTCTTTACTGGGAGCCCACGGGCTGCCTTTGAATGCTCGCAGATGTGATCTGTAAATCAGAGAATCTTGGAATGGGTTGGGTTGAGAAGGACTTTAAAACCATCTCATGCCATGGGAAGGTGGAATCTGGATGCTCCAGTGCTTTAAATGCAGGAAAAAAATTAAATGTGTGTAATGAAGCAATCTCTGTAACCATTGTAGAGCAGAGTGGGAGTGCTGCAGTCCAGCTCTAGAAACAATTCCCTTTTTTTTTTGGCAGAATGGAGGCATCGTGCCTGGAGCTGGCCCTGGAAGGAGAGCGCTTGTGCAAGGCTGGTGACTTCAAAGCTGGGGCAGCCTTTTTTGAAGCAGCAGTGCAGGTGGGGACAGAGGACCTGAAGACTCTCAGTGCCATCTACAGCCAGCTGGGCAATGCCTATTTCTACCTGAAGGAGTATTCCAAAGCCCTGCTGTACCACAAACATGACCTTACCCTGGCCAGGTGAGTGTGTCAGCACTGCTTTGTGCTCAGCAGACACAGCCTTGAGTGAGGGTGGCTTTGTGGGGTCTGAACCCACAGCATGAGTGGATAGGCCCCAAAAAACACATCCCAAAGTGGCCCTGGGGGTGATTGTCCTGGGGAGAACACACCAAGGATGGGTCAGTTCTTTCAGAAGGAGCTGGAGAAAGGGATGTGGGTGTGAGGAGAGTGYTTGGAGCAAGAGCAGGGCAGTGTCCCCTTCTGTCCCCAGCTTCTCCCTGTAATGACCTGCAGTTCTTAGAGCAGAAATTACAGAACAAGGATCTGCTTTCAGCATTTTGGGAAGTGTGGGGAGCTCTCCAGGCAGATGTGTGTGCTGGGAAGCTGCAGCTCCACCCTGCCTCAGACACATAAAAGTGTCTGAACTTTTGAACACCTTCCCCTTGTAGGACCATTGGGGACCGGATTGGAGAAGCCAAGGCCAGTGGCAACCTTGGGAACACCCTGAAGATCCTGGGGCAGTTTGATGAAGCTGTTGTGTGCTGCCAGAGACATTTGGACATTTCTCGGGAGCAGGGAGACAAGGTAATGGTTCCAACAGGAAATATTTTCTGCCTCTGAAAATACTCTGTCTGCAAGTCTGCAAATGTGATCTGGTGAAGGTGGGGTTTGGAAGGAGCTGGAGGGTGAAATTCTCCCTTCTGGCTGCCATCACACATCTTGTGTGAGGTTGAAGACCAGAAAATAAAATGTGCATTTCTGTTTCAGCAATGGAAAGGTCCAGTCTGGGATGTGAAGTGTGATCCTTTGCTGTTCTCTGTTCTTCCTCCCTTCAGGTGGGTGAAGCCAGAGCYCTCTACAATATAGGGAATGTTTACCATGCCAAGGGAAAGCAYTTATCCTGGAACACGGCCCAGGACCCCGGCTACCTGCCTCAGGAAGTCAAGGACACRCTGCAGAAAGCTTCAGAATATTATGAGTGAGTATCTGAGCTTGGCCAGCCCCTTCTGCAGGGGAGTGAGAATTTGCATCTTGCAACAGATTAGAAATATTCCCCCAGATGCCAAGCAATTCTGGCAAATTAATCTCAAAGAAGGTGAGAAAAGGTCTTTTATAAAATTTGAGCTAAAATTCATCCTGGCACTGGCTGTGTAAATTCACTGTGGTTTGAATTGTGATCATGCAATGAAGTTTAGCAGTCTGCTGCTTCCCAGAGCTGTGTTGGCAAGCTGAGCTCTCAGCTCCTGTAGCCCCTGCTGCTCTCTGCTGGCCTCCAGGAGGATGGATCCCTGTGTGTCCCCATCCCTGGCACCCAAGGGAAGAGTCACTTTGAATTCCTGGTCCTTCTCAAGGATCTTTACTCGATCTTGCTTGTAACACCCTTCCTGTTCCTAAATAATTTCAGATCACTGTGATGTGCCACACACAGGGAAGGCTGTCACCAGAATTTTGGGCTCATGTTTTTCTCCTCAGAAAAACTTCAGAGTTTTGCTTTTGTAATGCCATTTTTTCAATGGGCTTTGCAAATAAGGAAAGTGGTAAGATCATAAATCCCTCCCCTCATGTCTGAGGATGTGGTGGTGTCTACAAACAGCTCACCACCCTTTTTCCAAGGAATGGTGCCATGTAGCAGAGCCAGTGGGTAAATTTGTGCCAGTGATGAGTGTTCCATCATCCTCTGTGTGCTGTGTGTGTAAAGGGGGAGAAACAAGGGAAGGAAATGCCAGGAAGATCCCAGAGAAGAGCCCTGCGTGGGACTGGATTTTACCTGGAGCAGGACAGGGCAATCTCCCTCCTCCTGTGCCCCTGGTGCTGCACTGGTGGCATTTCTGGTTTAATGTGGGATGTGCCAGGCCAGGGGTGTGAGCCCAGCTGTGGTTCCTGCACAGTGCCACCCATTTTTGGGGACACAGAGCAGCAGCACCTGCACCCCTGGCTTGGCACGAGCTCCCAGAGGTGGCCAGCGCTGTCACCTGTGCCAGCCTTGGCACGGAAATGTCCCCTCCAGAGCTGCCTCTCCTCCCTTTCTGTGCACKTTTCCTGCAGTGCTGTGGCTCAGGGATGCTCTGCTCTGCTTTCTTTCAGGAGGAACCTGTCCCTGGTGAAGGAGCTGGGGGACAGAGCTGCTCAGGGCCGCGCTTACGGCAACCTGGGCAACACCCAGTACTTGCTGGGCAACTTCAGCGAGGCCATCGCCTTCCACAAGGAGGTAGGAGACACCTCTGCCCCMTTTCCTGCTCCTGGAGCAGCAGCTTTCCTCCTCACACAGCCCAGCAAGCACAGGCAGATGTTCCCCCAGCTGTTTTCCTCTTTTCTTTGTGACCCCAGGCTCTGTCCTGCTGTACAAATCTTACTCCAGCACCTCATGAGCAGCTTGAGGGAAGGGTGCTGTTGGCTTGGAAACCAAAGGAGGTATCCAAGGGCACATTGCAGCTGGGTCTAGCAAGGCTTTTTTTTCTGCTCTTAATTTGTCTCAGTCTAGATTTTAATAAATGCAAGCCATGAATTTAATTAAGCAGCTGAAAGAGCTGTTGATCAAGAATAAATGCTGCTTGTAGAACATAATAACTTTCTGTAAAGCTTTACAGGGAGGTGAGGTGACAAAGTCCCTGCCCCAATTCAAATGCAATTTAGCTTCAGTTGCAATGTGTTTATCATCTCCCTTGCAGTGGAAGGTGCTCAGCACCCTGGAAATCCACTGCTCCTCTGGTTTTTTTTAAATGCTGGGGGACAGCACTGGGGTGCAGCATCACTCCTGCTTTTACAGAGAGGTGAGGTGACAAAGTCCCTGCCCCAATTCAAATGCAATTTAGCTTCAGTTGCAATGTGTTTATCATCTCCCTTGCAGTGGAAGGTGCTCAGCACTCTGGAAATCCACTGCTCCTCTGTTTTTTTTTTAATGCTGGGGTGCAGCATCACTTCTGCTTTTCCCAGGGCTTTTCCTGATGTGGAATTGCAGAATTTCCTGGTGGGGCAGGCACAGCATGACCTCGGGGTGGGAGCTCTGCAGCCCCAGGAAGGTGCTTGGGGCAGGGAGGGGTCCCCTGGTGACCCAGCTGTGTCTGCTGCAGCGCCTGGCCATCGCCAAGGAGTTTGGGGACAAAGCAGCCGAGCGCAGAGCCTACAGCAACCTGGGCAATGCTCACATCTTCCTGGGGAGGTTCGACATCTCTGCTGAGTACTACAAGTGAGTGCTGGGGGCTGTGACAAGGGAGCTGGGCTGGCAGGGCTGGTGGGGACAGTGCAGGGTGTCACTGATGCCTTATCAATCAGGATAATCTGAAACAGAGGCCAGACAAATTTAGGAGAATGAGAATAGACAACTTTAAACCAGGCCTAACAGTCCTGCTGGTACATTAGGGCAGACAAAGCCTCCTCCTGAGGCTACACCCAAAATGGACACTGAGTCACAAGATCTTCACCTTTTATAAATTCTGCCTAATTAACATATTGGGTCTTAATTCTCCAATGATCTTTACAGGTGATGATGTCAACCACCCCAAACTTGCTCCCCTCAATTCTCCATTGTTTCCATATTTTGGGGCTCTGAGGTGTCCTTGGATTCAGGGTCAGAGAGGAATTGTTTTGTCTAAAGATAGGAGAACGGTAGTTTTAGTGTTGTACTAGAGAAATACAAAAATATGGATGCATGAAAACATAGAAACTAAAAATCCTAAGGCATCACCAGCATTGTCCATGGCAGGGGTGACTTCCCTTGGCCTGGCAGTGACCAGAGCTCTTCATTCCCCTCTGTTCCTGCAGGAAAACCCTCCAGCTCTCCAGGCAGCTCAAAGACCAAGCAGTAGAAGCCCAAGCTTGCTACAGCCTGGGGAACACGTGCACACTGCTGCAAGACTATGAGAGAGCCATCGAGTACCACCTGAGGCACCTGGTGATAGCCCAGGAGCTGGGGGACAGGTGAGGGAGTGCCCTGGGTGGGGCTGCAGAGCTCTGACCCTGCTCTGCTCTGCTGTGCTCTCCTGCTGGGCTGGAATACCAGTGATGGAAATTCTGAAATTCTGGAATTCCGAAAAAAAATGTCCCAGGCAGCCGTCACACCTGATGTGATTCACCTTCCTGGTGATGTGATCACATCTGTGTGCCCTTGGTGCTGAGGGAGATTTCTAACGAGAGCTACTTCCAGAAAATGCGTTGTGTTCACTGCTTTGCCACGTGTTTTCTGTGGTGTTACCCCAGAAGGGTTCTCGAGAGCTCCCTCAGGTTCACAGCTGTGTTTTCCTTAAAAGCTGTGTATTTAGGGCACTCAGATGTGGCACTTTATCCTTTTGCTCCAGGTTAATGCTGGAAACTTTCATGTCCAAACAAATGATGTTACACAGAGGGCGTGGAGATGATGCATTTTGTTTCTTAGTCTCATTCCTCACTATTTAGCAAGCTTGGCCTTTTAATTTTTTTTTTTTAATTTTTAATATAATTTTGAGAGGTCACTTCCTTTTTCCTGGATATTCTAATCCCTCTTGAAGTGACTCGCAGCCAGCTCGTTCAGCGTTGTGCTGATTTATTTAGCTTAATTTTTTTTTTTAATTTTTAATATAATTTTGAGAGGTCACTTCCTTTTTCCTGGATATTCTAATCCCTCTTGAAGTGACTCGCAGCCAGCTCGTTCAGCGTTGTGCTGATTTATTTAGCTTAATTTTTTTTTTTAATTTTTAATATAATTTTGAGAGGTCACTTCCTTTTTCCTGGATATTCTAATCCCTCTTGAAGTGACTCGCAGCCAGCTCGTTCAGCGTTGTGCTGATTTATTTAGCTTAATTTTTTTTTTTAATTTTTAATATAATTTTGAGAGGTCAGCTCCTTTTTTCCTGGATATTCTGATCCCTGTTGCAGCCGAGGTGACTCGCAGCCAGATTCCCTCGGAAGCTGGGTGTCCTCCACTAGATGGAGCAGGGACATCAGGATGGGAGAGCTGTGCCAGCACCCGGGCAGTGCTCGGAGAAGGCACAATCCCACCCCAGGGTGAATCATGCTGTGGGGGTGCGGGCTGTGGGCTCCTGCATCTCTGGGAACACACCCTGCGAGCAGAAGGTATTGAACAGGGTGACAAGAAAAATGTTGAAATGCTGATCAACCCGCCCAAACCTCTGAAAAGGGAGTTGCAGTCATGCTGAACCTCCCCCCGCGCCCCCAGGTGCTTTTTTTATCCCTTCTCCCCCCACATCTGCTCGTTTGCAGAGCTGAGCAGGCTTTGGGGAGCAGAAGGCTCTGCCTGCTCCTGCAAACAGCTGCTGGAGCTCCTGGGCTGCCAGGCTGGGGGTTTGGGCTGCTCAGGGTGGGTTCCACATCCCCCTGCTCTCCCTGGCTCTTGAAAACGAGCAGCAGTGCCAGTTTGGGGGTTTGGGCTGCACAGGGCAGGTTCCACATCTCTCTGCTTTCCCTGGCTCCTTGGCACAGCAGCAGTGCCAGGCTGGGGGTTTGGGCTGCACAGGGTGGGTTCCCTGCTCTCCCTGGCTCCTTGGCACAGCAGCAGTGCCAGGCTGGGGGTTTGGGCTGCTCAGGGTGTGTTCCACATCCCCCTGCTCTCCCTGGCTCCTGAACACCAACAGCAGCAGTGCCAGGCTGAGGGTTTGGGCTGCTCAGGACAGGTTCCCTTCTCCCTGACTCCTTGGCACAGCAGCAGTGCCAGGCTGGGGATTTGGGCTGCACAGGGTGGGTTCCACATCTCTCTGCTTTCCCTGGCTCCTTGGC